TTAGGTTCCTATAAGCATCTGGCCACAACATTTTTTGTCAACAGATGAATACATAGCCTTGTTTTATATGGGTTTCTATTTAAAGACAGCTCAGCAAATATATAGTGTTGATTCATTAACATTGAACTCATAGCCAACAGCACTACTACTCATGTTGGATAAGCTTATTTAATACACATAAGGCACATCACAGCCTCCTTGGATGTAGGAACATGAGACAGAACTCCAGCATTATGTTTGAGGGCTTTTAAACACTGAAGTGACCAATGAAAAGTGCGAAAGAAAGAAAGAAAGAAAGAAAGAAAGAAAGAAAGAAAGAAAAGAAAAAGCACTAAATGGATTGTAAGAAGGACACTCTTACAGCATGAGAGCCAAAAAGAAAAGGCCATGTTGCTTTGTTCAAATTCTTCTGGTATCAGGCACGTCAAGATGTAGGGGCTCCAGGAGGCTGCTCCAACACGGGCCCCTTTGGCATAAAGATTATTTTCAGTTAAAAGTAACCAAAGCCCAGCAGATGCAGGAAAAACTCTGCCTCCCCCACAACTGCCTAAATTTACGTTGGAAGGGAGATTCTGCAACAGGAAGAGAAGAATTAACAGGGACTCCTCTTTACTGAAGAAGCTTAGCTGCACAATAAGGCAACCTGCTGTTTCCCAACATCTCCTTCACCTTTCCTGCCAATGAACTTCCTTCCCTTTTACCTTCAGACCACCCCCTCCCCTTAGCTCATATAAGCTTCATGCTGCCTCGCTGTCTTCTGCATCTTATGTCTGGTAAGTATACCTGTTAAGTGTGATTTTCTCCTGTTAGTCTGTCTCATGTCAGTTTGAGTCTAAGTCTATTTTTTAATATATATTTTTAAATGTTTTATTTATTTCTGAGAGAGAGAGAGACAGCATGAGCAGGGAAGGGTCAGAGAGAGAGAGGGAGACACAGAATCTGAAACAGGCTCCAGGCTCTGAGCTACCTGTCAGCACAGAGCCCGACGCGGGGCTCGAACCCACGAACTGTGAGATCATGACCTGAGCTGAAGTCGGATGATTAACCAAATGAGCCACCCAGGTGCCTCGAGTTTGAGTCTAAGTCTAGAAGGACCATAGGGCAGAGGAAGGTCTTCCTCCCCAACAGGGTGGATCCATCTTTTCACTCTTCAGCTCATGTCAGTGAATCATCATGAAAGAGCCATAATTATTGATTTGGAATTACAATTACATGTTTGCAAAGAGGCAAATTTGCAATTCTGAAATCCATGAATATGGAGGATCAACTATATCTGTGTATATGTATCTATACTTATATCTATATGTGTTTCAAAGTAGCAGGTTTATGTCCTTTTTCCTTCAGTAAATATTGCATTCTACATGGAAGTTAATTCACAGGATTCCTCACTATACTGACACATGATTTTGTAGAACAATTTGGAACGGTTTGGAATTGCTCAAGTTCACTCAGAGTACCACTCTACACTGCTTGCAATTACTCATTCTGGAATATTTTTGTGCTTAAAGTGTAGATTTGAAATCAACACTGATAGCATTGCCCCGTGATTATAAAGTAAAAAGAAAAACCCCAAAACCAACAACAACAGAATTTGATCTACTTCTATTATTATTCTCTGTGACAATTTGCAATATTATTTGTATTTATACAATTTTTCAACCTGCAGAGAAATTTGAAAGTATCTAAAATTGATTCTGAAAGAACAAAGACATGGACAATATTGGATTTTCTGGAATAATTGTGAAATAGGATTGTTATAAATCTGCCACACATAGTCTATGTATAAGTCTTTTTCTTATTTATATACCTGTTGCTTCAGTGAGAAAATTTTTTCAAAATTAAAATGAACAAAACAATGGCCTGAAGTCAATTTTGAGCAAAAATGAGTTGATATGTTTAGGTACACAGTCTACTTAACATGAACATGTAATCAAGATTAATTCTGACAATGTCACTGATAAATTTGGAGAAGGTAAGGGAGCCAAACATATATTCATATTATTTATTACAGTGACACACTTATATAGAGGTATAAATTCCTCTCCCTTTCCAAAGAAAAGGCATTAATATAATTGAAAAGACTTTATCCATTTAATGGAGTAGTTTGTACAATATTTATTTTTATTTTCATAAACATATTTAAACACACCTTTTACTTTTGACTGGCATTATTTTATATACAACTTCCAACAAAACATATCCACTACCTACATTTGTTTTCTGACTATTATGATCACTCATTCCATTTCATGATTATTACTGAAAACTGTATTGTTTTATAGAGGAGAGGAAAGTAAACAAAACAAAACTAGGCAAAAATTGAACAGTCTGGGTGTTAAATATGCTGGGTACAGCACTGCTCAAGGACTCAAGAATTAGTGAGAAAAACAGTTATAAGCGTCTCACAATAGGAAAATGACACAGAAATATGTTTCTTCCTGGGGGAGACTGGAAAATTTCAAACATAAGTGCCATAGCAGAGTGATGTGTATATTCTATATATACTTCTCCTCATTAAAATGGAAGAAAACAAGGAGCCTGGCTGGCTCAGTCGGTTAAGTGTCCGATTTCGGCTCTTGAAATGCCTGCCTAATGGGGCACCAGGGTGGCTCAGTTAGTTAAGCCTCTGATTTGGGCTCAGGTTATGATCTCACAGTTTGTGAGTGCTAGCCCCGAGCCGGGCTCTGTGCTGACAGCTCAGGGCCTGGAGCCTCCTTCGGATTCTGTGTCTCCCTCCTTCACTGCCCCTCCCCTGCTTGCATTCTGTCTCTCTCTCTCTCAAAAGTAAATAAACATTAAAAAAAATTTTTTTTTAAAAATGCCTGCCTTTAAAGCTAGTGCTTCCAGAAAAACTTACTGTTTGTTTCAGTCAAAACTTGACAATAGATGACTCTCTACATCTCCTTTTCGAGTGGCCACCTTAGAAAGTTTGCAATTAGAAGTCCTTTCTCTGACTTTTCAAAAGGAAACCTACCACCAGAGACTATTTCTTTAAGGACTCGAGAGCCATCTCTTTGAAAGGCACACATTCAGGGAGTTAGGGAGATAAGTCTCACTCCTGCAGTCCCTGTGGGAGGGTAAGGGTCTAGTTCCAGACAGGGCACCATCTTGCTTTAACACGTATCACTGCCACCTGTCATACAGATAAGAGAAGTTTATCTCTCTTCTAGATAAGCACCAACAGCCAAATCTTCACACAGATTAACACTCCGCAATACCACTCAGTGTCCTTCCGTTAGCATACCTTCAAAAAATCTTCAGTCTTTTCTTTGGGGGAAGTTGAATTCTTTCGTGCTGGTCCCTCTTTTGTATTGTAATAGAATTACTGAACGAAATCTGTCCTTCCTGCTTTTAATGGTCCGGCTTTGTTTCTCTTTGACCACAGTTAGGTGTCTTCTTTGCCCTGCTTGCCTCAAAGTCTTGTAAGTGGGTTGGGTAACTTTGTAGTTTCCAGTAATGATAAGTGTTTTCCATATCTCATTAGTTTGGGTATTTTGTATAATATTTCAGTCCCGGAATTCTCCATAAGCCGTCACAGTGGTTTCTTCTTATCCTGGGGGAAGGTATGTTCCAAGATCTGCCGTGAATGCCTGAAACCAAGGATAGTACTGAACTCTTTGGATACCGTTCTTTTCCATTATACATATATACCTACGATATAGGCCTGGTGACACAGGGTTAGGCTACTGTTGACCTTCTGATGATACATCAGGAGGATCATCTGCTTCCTGACCACAGTTATCTGGGGGTAACGGAAACCATGGAGAGCAAACCAATGATTAGGATGGACTACATCCTTGTCATATAAGTGTTTAAAAAGATCGTGAGATTGGCAGCAAGAGTAGATTTTGGTTTGATTCTTTGCTTCAATATTTTTAGTAGCTTCTTAAAACTGAGCAAAGGGCTAAAATTCTACATCTTGTTTTCTTGATTTGAAAGTAAAAAAAGTACACACCGCCTGTACTTGTTGGAAAATTGCGATTGAGAAAACATGTGCAATGGGTGGTCCTAGTTCATAGTAATTGTTCAATAAATAATTACTACTTTGAGTTATCAGTCCCTGATGAATCTTAAATAGATGTGTTTCTCCTCTCTGCTGTTACAGCAATTGCCCCTGTTGCATCCTTTATATACCTATCTATAGATTTCCTTTGTTAGTCAATGAGCTTCTCTTTTTTTATATGAAGGGCACTAGGTTTTTTTAAATTAAATTCATTAATTTTAGAGAGAGATAGTTCTCATACATGAGCAGGGGAGGGGTGGATGGAGAGAGTGAGAGAGAAAATCCAGAGAGAAAGAATCCCAAGCAGGCCCCACACTCAGCATGGAGCGCCGTGTGGGGCTCAGTCCCACAACCCTGGGATCATGACCGGAGCTGAAATCAAGAGTCAGATGCTCAACCCACTGAGCCACCCAGGCGCCTCCAGCAATGAGCGTCTTCACATAAATCCTTTATCCTGGTATCCCCAGCTCCTGCCAGTTGAAAAGATGGCCATTTGATAAATGTTTAGTGAATGAGGGAGCACATGAGTAAATGAATGCATGTATGAATTCATGTTTCATTTTCCTTATATTTGGCCTGAAACAAAGATTTATCTATTGTGCTGCCTTGTCATTTTCTTCAGGGTCATCAGTTTTAGAAACAGGATCTAGGGGCGGCTGGGTGGCTCTGTCGGTTGAGTGTCCGACTTCGGCTCAGGTCATGATCTCGCGGTTCGTGGGTTCGAGCCCCGCGTCGGGCTCTGTGCTGACTGCCAGCTCGGAGCCTGGAGCTGCTTCCAATTCTGTGTCTCCCTCTCTCTCTGACCCTCCCCTGCTCACGCTGGTTCTCTCTCTCTCTCAGAAATAAATAAAACATTAAACATTTAAAATTAAAAAAAAGAAACAGGATCTAAAGGTGCAAACGGGAACTTACCACGACATAGTTTTCTTTTCCTGCCTTTGGCCATCTGGTTGGACTACTTAAGCTCAACCTGTTAAAGCTCAGCAAATGCCTTTCCCACATGATTTGACTCATACATCGTCTTTCGACCACAGGCAAAAGAAAAGAGGAAAGAGCTCTCAAATGCTGTGCCAACTCAAGGACTCAGTAGAACAATGGAATATCGTTCTGAGATAGAAAATTTGGATGAAGATGGTTATACTCGTTTAGACTTCAGCTCTCAAGCCGCCCCTGGGAGACCTGTGGTCTCAGAGAAAGGTACTTTTTCTTTCTGCCTTCACCATTCGTATTCCCATCAGCTAAAACACTTACGTGGAGAAAATTTGAGAGACTTGAGATTTGTAGGATGAAAACGTCTTAAAAGGTTTTCAGACATCACTGAAGATTTGGAAGTGCACCAAGCCTCATGGCAAGCATTAGGTGACTAATAGTATTTAGAGTAATTATTATGATGGCAGAAAATACCTACAGTTTCTCTGTGCTGTAGAAATAGACACTTCCACACTAACGAACTGTAAACAAGTGATGAAATGCAAAGATGAAGGAATTTTAGTGGGAGTGATTTGTTGCTTGGTTGGTGGAAAGGAGTAGACTGTAGAATAGAAGTCATGGAAAATCCAAGAAGTATATATAAACAACATCAGAATATTGAAAATAAGAAAGAGAAGAATAAAAAGATGGAAGTTAGATGAGGAAAAATCCAAATCTGTGATTTTGTGGTAAAGGCCAAAGGCAAGGTGGAAGTCATAGGGTGTGGAATCATGAATCTGGTGTGTTGTTTTTTCTGACAAGAAATTGATTTGGATTTTTTTTTTAATCAAAAGAGGGCTCATTGTATATACTAGTGAAGGAAAAATGTGGATGTTAGATGAAAAGATCCAATTATCAGAATATGAGTCTTAAACGTAATGTAAAAAGAGTGAAATATGGTGAAAGACACATTGTAAGGTCTCTCTCTTACAGAATGAACCATTTAGTCTCCTATATGGTTCCATTTGACATTTCTCTGAAATGCGAGGCTGCTTGCTCTCAGACAAAGGCACAGCTATATTCTCAGTGTGGTGCTATTAACATAAAAAGAGTTTCCTGTTATCAAGAGAAAGATTTTTCACAAGTTTTGACATGAGCATTGCACTCTTCTGCTTTCTGGTAATCCACATTGTGCAATTATTTTCCCTTTACCACTTACACAATTCTCGTCTTGCTCAACTGGTTGATGAGGACTTGGAAAAACTGGATGATGCAAGAGGTTGGGAGGCAGGTGTATGATTCTGCGTATTTGTTGACAAACAGTGAGTTACGTATAATGAGCTAGTAGCCTCTGGACGAGATGCTTTCATGTGTCAGCCCATTTAGTTCCCATAATGATTCTTTGAGGTATTATGACCCGCTCCCCCCAACTTTTCACAAAGAGAATGAGTAAGCAGAGGGAGTAATTCACCCAAGGTTATGTAACAACTAAGTGAGAAGAGAAGGTTATTCTTAGGAACCCATGCTGTTTCCCCTACATTAAGCTGTCTTTCATAAAAATGAGTCAGATTTCAGAAATGCTGGTAGCGTCAGGACCTATAGACATCAATGTGAACCTGAAATTAGGAGGGCACAGATGTCAGGGCACTGTGCTGAAATTACAGTTCTCGAACCTGAAGAGCTATGATAAAGGAGAGGAAAAATTCAGATAATGCTAGATGACTAGATTATTTGTATAATGGTTCGCTTCAGAATTTGCCAGACTTTGATGAACTGTAGAACTGCAGTGCTGTGTTATTTGTCTTATTTCTTCATTTAATTTCTGTTCCCTCTGGCTTCCTAGGAACTTGTGCTACATCTCCTTGTTGGCGTCCCGTTGCTGTGACCTTGGGGATCCTTTGCTTGGTGATACTGGTGATAGCTGTGGTCCTGGGTACCATGGGTAAGTATGGGGGGAGGGAATTCAACAACAACAACGACAACAACAAACATTTGAGAAGCATGTATACTGTGCGATACACTCTTTTAAGAGTTTGACATGCATAATCTAATTTAATCTGTATATTAGCCCTACTGAATCAGTGCTACTAATTCTCATTTTATTTATAGGGGAAGTGAGAGGTGGGAGTGTGCACTTTACTTTTCTAGGGTGATAAACTAGTTAATGGTAAGACCATGATTAGAAATTTAGGCAATCTGGGGCGCCTGGGTGGCTTAGTCGGTTGAGCGTCCGACTTTCGCTTAGGTTGTGATCTCGCAGTTTGTGGGTTCGAGCCCCGTGTCGGGCTCTGTGCTGACTGCCAGCTCAGAGCCTGGAGCCTGTTTCAGTCTGTGACACCCTCTCTCTCAGACCCTCCCCTGCTCACGCTGTCTCTCTCTCTCTCTCCTAGAAATGAATAAAACATTTAAAAAAAAAAAAGAAATTTAGGCAATCTGTCTAAAAAATGCATACTCTTAACTACATTGCTCTATTATCTTCTTTGAATAGCTGTTTTCAAAGCTGTGATTTGTAAGGTATCTTCCAAGATACGTTAATGGAAGGAGACCAGTGGAGGTGAAAAAGGAAGTACAATGTGGTGCTTATCTTCCTAATGAAATAAATTCTCTAAAGAGACTATAAACTATTTTAATAAATCTCATGATTTAAGGAAACTGTTTTATACCCGATCTTTAATTTAAGTTCCTTTGAATACTACCAGGATTTACCTGAGGCATTTACTGAATAGACATTTTGTGTTGGGTGAATGAGTTCTTTCAGATTTTGTATCACATGCATTCTATTGTCAATAATGTATTATTGTGTCTTCACAGTTTTTTCAAGGAACTCTCATTTTTAAATAACATAAAAAAGATAGATTTACTACTAGTTCAAATCTTTTGTGGCTCCATTGAACTCTATTTCATTTGCATCTTGCTTTCTCATTCATACTCTTTCTTTTATACATGCTTGACTTTTTCTCCTTTTTACTACACCTTCATGGAAGTTATTTTTTCTTTCCATCTATTTAATCTATCTATCATCTATTCTATTATCTATCTATCTATCATCTATCATCACCATTTATTTATTATCTATTTATCTTGACCTCTCAATCAGAGACATGTTATCTATTTATCATTAATCAAGAATATACCCATTTGTATTCCAACAAAAATATGGATTTTTGAATTATAATTTCGAATATAGTAGAATGACTTTTTTCTCCCTGTCACTATAATTGTTGCTGGCATATGAAGCTATTTGGAGATCCAATTCAGGAAGCAACCCATTGAAGAATGACAACTTTCCATCAAGAAATAAAGAGAACTACAGTCAGCCCACACAATCATCTTTAGAAGACAATGTGGCTCCTACCAAGGCTCTCACAACCACAGGCAAGGACAGAATTAAAAGATGAAGGGGATCCTTGATCCAGGAAAGTTAATTATTGGTGCTAAGGCCTGGAGTAGGGTAGGTAAAGAGAGTACTCTTTTACATGCAGGGATTGCACATTCAGGGAGCACACATACCAGTATTATCTTACTCGGTATCCCCTGTCATATATACAATAAAGTAATACAAGTATCCCATGCTTTCCAAATATTTCTAAGTTGGATTTTTTTTTCAAATCAGTAACTAATTTATCACTTTCTGCATATTTAGATCTATAGATGACTGTACAACTTGATGCAAAGGAAAGAAATGTGTTCTCTCCTCTTTGAGAATTGACACTTTAGAGTAATATAGTTAGAATAAGAAATGGGGGGGGGGGGACTGCCTGGGTGGCTTAGTCGGTTAAACGTTCAACTTCAGCTCAGGTCATGATCTCACGGTTCGTGGGTTCGCACCCCGCATCGGGCTCTGTGCTGACAACTAGCTCAGAGCCCAGAGCCTGTTTCAGATTCTGTATCTCCCTCTCTCTCTCTGATCCTTGCCTGTTCATCTTGTCTCTCTCTCTCTCTCAAAAACAAATAAAAAACATTTAAAAAATTAAAAAAAAGAAATAGGATGTCTGGAAGAAAAGCAGAGAAAAAGGAAAGAAGGGAAAATGTGCTGAGAATGAAGAGGCTAAATTGAGCACATACAAAAGAGATAGACCTAGTAGATAAGTTCCTGAAAACTCCGGTTATATTTGTTTTTTTTAATCAGACAATTTCATTAATTTTATTACAATTTGATATACACTTGACCCTTATTTCTAATTGCATCATAATTGACTATGACAATATTTTGCCTTCAATTTTCCATCTCTGGACCCATACCTTCTCACTATGTGTTTCAAGTAGCTAAGGATACAAAATAAAGATATTCTAGGGGCGCCTGGGTGGCTTAGTCGGTTAAACATCCGACTTTCGCTTGGGTCATGATCTCGCGGTTCGTGGGTTTGAGCCCCGCGTCGGGCTCTGTGCTGACTGCCAGCTCAGAGCCTGGAGCCTGTTTCAGTCTGTGACTCCCTCTCTCTCTGACCCTCCCCTGCTCACGCTCTCTCCTAGAAATAAATAAAACGTTAAAAAAAATAAAAAAAACAAAAAACAAAAAACAAAATAAAGATATTCTATAATATGAATCATTGCATTACTTTTCTGCTTTAGAAAGCTGTATTCTTAAATGGATCTCACACCTCTAAAGGAAGTTAACATGAAATTACTGTATATCTCAAAGATTGACCTAAGTTGATTTATTTTAAGAATTATGAAGAAAGGGAGGACTGAATTTGAAAGAATGGAATACGAATCAAAAAGGAAAGGAGGCGGAGTGCCTGGGTAGCTCAGTTGGTTCAGCATCAGACTTTGGCTCAGGTCATGATCTCACAGTTCCGCGGGTTTGAGCCCCATGTCGGGCTCTATGCTGACAGCTCTGAGCCTGGAGCCTGCTTCAGATTCTGTTTCCCCTTCTCTCTCTGTTCCTCCCCTGCTTGCTCTCTGTCTCTCTCTCAAAAATAAACACTTTTTTTTAAAAAGGAAAGTAGAACTAGCTGTTTAAAACACTGTTTATAATTATTCCATTCATTTTTAAAGCTTAAATGAATGAAGGATTTTAATATGGTCCCTTATATAAAAATTGCATCCCTATAGAAGAGCCTGTGTGGCTCAGGTAAGTATCCAACTCTTGATCTCGACTCAGGTCATGATCTCACGGTTCATAGGTTAGAACCTTGCATCAGGGCCTGTGCTGACAGCACAGAGCCTGCTTGGGATTCTTTCTCTCCCTCTCTCTCTCCCTCCCTCTCTTTCTCTCTCTTTCAAAATAAATACACAAACTTAAAAAAAATCACATCCCTATAGTTTGAACTGAAAATGAAATGTATCGCTGGCAATTCATTGATTATTAAGTGTCCTCAGAATGAATGGTTGTTTGCTCTGAAAGAGAAAATTGGTATGATATGAACCTCATTGTATTTACTTTTTATTTCCAGTTTTTTCCACCTCTTGTCCTCCTAACTGGGTCACACATGAGAACAACTGTTATCTATTTAGGACGTCATTAGCTTCCTGGAATAGGAGTAAAAATCAATGCTCTCAACTGCACTCTAATCTCCTCAAGATAGACAGTGAAAAAGAACTGGTAAGTGCAGACTTCAGTTGCAATTATCTGTGGTCTATAGCAAGCAGAAAAATAGAGGTAGATTCCAGGTAATGATAATTTTCCCTAAACGAAAGTCACTTTTAATGTCCTCCATAATTATAACAATAGCATATATTAAACGGGTAAAATATATAATATATGCTTATTTATTTATTTATTTATTTATTATTTTATACATATATAGAGAGAAAGTCAACATGGAGGGGGACAGAGGGAGAGAGAGAGAGAGAGAGAGAGAGAGAGAGAATCTTAAGCAGACTCCATGCTCAGTGTGGAGCCCAGCACAGGTTCAATCCCACAACCCTGGGATCATGATCTGAGACAAAATCAAGAGTCAGATGGGCAATGAACCAAGCCATCCAGCCGCTCCTTTACGCTTTTTTAAATTAATTCATTTTAAAAGTATGTTTCACTTTAAAACAAATCTATTCAAACACATGTCAAGTTTGCATGACTATAACCATCAGACCACTGCTCCTTTGTGTGGGTTTAGGGTTTCAATTCTTAAACTGGGTGGAGTAAAATAGAAAATTCCTTACCTTGTCATCATTATTATGAAGGCAAATAGCAGCAATAATAATGTACATTTATAAATCATTTGCTCTTTGCAAGATGCTGGGAAAGGAAAAGAAGTTTAAAAAGTAACCTTGGTATTTCAATGCTTACATATTTTGTAAGAAGAAAGAAACAACTTGGCTGCTGAAAGTTAAATATCTGGTATTGGCAATAAATGACATAGGAATTCAGAGACATGCCAGTGTAGATAACTTTTTACAGAAAAAGTGGGGCTTATAATGCATCATGAGTGAAGGGTAGGTATGAGAAAGGACTAATAGGAAACACTCTACACTATAAATCTAAGCAACTTAAAATCTATATAAATCTAAGCACTATAAATCTATAACTTCTATCTTTACTTTCGCTTCTTCTCAATTTTTCTTGGACATTGGACAGTTGTTGTTCACATTAAAATTAATGGAAGAAGATTAAGGTAAAGAAAGAGAATGACACTGGAAGTCGGTCAGGCTCTTAGACGTTTCTGTCATTTGTCAACAATTCAAATGGCATCATTCAAACTCAAATTACTAATTCATAAACCATGCAACAGAACCAAATTATTTTTATATTTTTATCTAACTCTGCAAAGCATTTCTTTTTTTATGTTTTCTTTCTTTTTTTTTTTTTTTTTTTACAAACAGTTTATTGTCAGGTTGGTTTCCACATAACACCCAGTGCTCATCCTCACAAGTGCCCTCCTCCATGCCCATCCCCCCTCCCCCCACACACCCATCAGTTCTCAGTTTGTTCTCAGCATTCAAGAGTCTCTCATGGTTTGCCTCTCTCCATTTCCCCCACCATTTCCCCCCTTCTTCTCCCCCTTGGTCCTCCATTAAGTTCCTCCTAATCCTCCTATACGTGCAAATATATGATATTTGTCCTTCTCTGCCTGACTTATTTCTCTCAGCATAACACCCTCAAGGTCCATCCATGTTGCTACCCATGGCCAGATTTCATTGTTTCTCATTGCCATGTAGTATTCCATGGTATAGATAAACCACATCTTCTTGATCCATTCGTCCGTTGATGGACACTTAGGCTCTTTCCATGTTTTGGCTATTGTGGAGAGTGCTTCTATGAACATTGGGGTACATGTGCTCCTATGCTTCAGCATTCCTATATCTACAAAGCATTTCTTAACAAAATTCCTATAAATTCATATACTCAATTTGAGGAGAAGATGGCAGCCTTTCATCCATGAAAATTGCCAAGGGGCTCTGTCACCTTTGAATTTTGTCAGACAGGTTGGATGAAGGCAGTACAATTTTGACCTTATGGATCTATTCTTCTTTGGAGAATCAAATAATAATGACTATGAAGAAACGAAATATGCTTTTTGAAACACTCAGTGGCATTCAATAATTGGCATTTTTCTCTAGGTTCATGCCAGAGTATGCATGCATTCTTTACCAGAGTGATTCAATCTGTTGTCTCTCAATGTTTGTAAGGGTTTCTCTCCACCTTTTTATCTCTGTCACCTCTGTCTATTCATCCTGTCACTCTCTGACATGTATGCTTATTTATGTTTCCCTACAGGAATTTATAGTGAGGCAAGTGTCCTCTCAACCCGATAATGCATTTTGGATAGGGCTTTCTCGCCCTCAAACTGAAGGACCATGGCTCTGGGAGGATAGTTCAATATTCTCTTATACCCTGTAAGTAACTGGGACGATGAAGCTTCATACCCCTTCTCAGAAAGTTAAGACTCTGATTGTGGGCCATTTGTAAGAAAGAGAGGGAGAGAGAAAAACAATGATAGAGAGAGAAAAAGAGTGAATCAGGAAGAAAAAAAAAGGAAGTGGGTAGAGGAGGGTTTTACAGTCAAAAAGAGCTGAGTGGTCATCTAGTGTTATTAACACAGATGTGTCTCAGCTTTCTTATAAGGAGGGTGTCCGCACGTGTCTGAAGTTGTCCGGTTAGCAGCTGTCACTGTTACTATAAAACTCTGGCTAAAAGCCTGGGCTTTGGAGTCAGCTCTCAGCTTGAGTCAATGATTGGTCCTCTCACTCTGATCAGAGCCCCTTTTTCCTCATCTATAAATGAGAATGAAAATAGTACCTGTCTGCTGGGATTTTAAGATAAAGAAAGGAAATGCAAGTAAAATCACTTAGGGGTGCTTGGGTGGCTCAGCCAGTTAAGCGTCCGACTTTGGCTCAGTTTATGATCTCATGGCTAGTGGGTTCAAGCCCTGCGTCCGGCTCTGCACTGACAGTTCAGAACCTGGAGCCTGCTTCAGATTCTGTGTCTCTCTCTCTCTGCCCCTCCCCTGCTGGCTCTCTCTCTGTCTCTCTCTCTCAAAAATAATTAAAAACATTTTTTTAAAAAGTAAAATCACTTAGCACAGTGTCCTATACCTCGTAAATATGTGTGCCACATGCTGTTATCATTAATTTTATTTTATTTTTAAAATTTTTAATGTTTATTTATTCTTGAGAGAGAGAGAGCATGAGCGGGGGAGAGCAGAGCGAGAGAGGGACAGAGAATCCAAAGCGGGCTCCAGGCTCAGAGCTGCCAGCCCAGAACCTGACGCGAGGCTTGAGTTCACAAGCCGTGAGATCATGACCTGAGCCAAAGTCAAAGCTGTTTCCTGCTTTTAGTCTAGTCATTTCTACAACAGAATTCTCTCAATCCTCCAGCCTTAGGGCCAAGAAAAGATAGATACACAAGATGAAGGGTACCAGTCCACAGCTTCTATAGTGAGGCTCAGTGATGCCTTTTGAGTTTGACTAATTAACACTGACCTTTCAGGAGACTAAAGAGCAAATAGAACAGAGCCATACTCCTACTTACCCCTGATAATTATCATAATTGTCTATCACTGTATTGTAATATAACTCTGTCTTCAAAATGAATTAAAGTATATAATGTTGTTTTCCCTGTCTTTAAATGGACTTGATATCTATGATTCTTCATTACATTAGTTCTAGATATTCCTCAATAATAGCTTCTCTGCTTGGTCTATTCACTAAATATACCCAAGGATAATTTCACTAGTCTGTTGTTTTATTTGATAAATATATTTCTAGCTGAGAGGTTGAAAGATAATCAAAGAACTTTCCATGGAATACTAAATTATTTTTCTTATTTGTCAGGAGCTTTATTTAATTTTACGTAACTAGCAGTATTTCTCTTAAAATTTTTTGAGTCATTTTTATGCCTTAATAATGAAGGCTCTTCTGTTACCACTTGAAAACTAATGCAATCTAAATTCACATTTACTTTTCCAATGACACAGACATTTCAGAAACTCTTTTCATCAATATCCTTGCCAATTTATTTCAGTACTGTATACACAGTAGACAGTATTTTCTTATGTTCTTTCTAATCACCTCATTGTATTTTAACAGGTTTCAAATCAGGAGCACAGAAACTCAGGAAAACTCACCTCACAATTGTGTATGGATTCACCTATCAATAATTTATGACCAACTTTGTAGTTTGCCTTCATACAGTATTTGTGAGAAGAAGTTATCAGTAAAATGATGAGGGTGTTGACGTGGAAAAGCAGAGAGAAGTATGTAACATAGTAAGAAGGGCAAAAAACAAAAAAGGAAAGAGAGCTATCTGAGGTGAGAATAAATATTAAAAATATCAAGAGAGCTTAGCCAACTTTCATCTTAGCTGAGAAACAGTGTGGAGAGGCTGTGATTCTGTACTTAACTGTTTTGGCAGGCCAGCCCTAGGTTCTAGTTAATGGAGTCCTAGATGTGGAGTCAGGGAAGCTGAAATTATATCTTCATTCTACCATTGACTTAGTATTAACCTTGGTGTTTCAAAAACTTATTTATTTCTGGGCTGATCAGAATTATTTTTTGCCCTTCAAAAGTGCCCCTGGAGTACATGTAGTATGTTTTCATCCACTTCTAGCAGTTTATCAGACACAGGTGGAAGGCAAGTTGTATTTCTGAATAGCCGAATGAAGAAATGAAAAAAATCTTCACTACAATCATAGCCATTTTATTATTTTGTTCATCAATATGGTAATGGTTATGAAAAAAAGCATCATGAGGGGTGCCTAGGTGGATCAGTCATTTAAGTGACGACTTCAGTTCAGGTCATGATCTCACTGTTACTGGGTTCGAGCCCTGCATCAGTGTCTGTGGTGACAGCTCAGAGCCTGGAGTCTGCTTCAGATTCTGTGTCCCCCTCTTTGCCCTATCCTGCTTGTGCTCTGTCTCTCTCTTCGAAAATAAAAATGTTTAAAAAATTATTTTAAAGAACGCATCATGAAAAAGTAGCAACTCCATTTTTTTTTCATTTAAATAGCTCAGAGAATATGTCTGTCATATTTCTGACTAATAGGATCTTGTAGAATGTGAAGTTGTATGGGAATTGCTCTTATAAGAAAGTTTTCTCCTTTTTAAATACTACCAATCAAAAAAGATCTGGTAATAAGTATAGAAAAAAACAATCCCATTACTGAGGTATTAACATTCTGGAAGGCAAAACATCTCATACTATTTTTAATGATTAACATTTGGCAGCTTTTAGCCCTCTCTCAATAATGAGTGTACAACGGTATTTTTGCAATGTTTCCTCATATGAGGATTTGTCTCTTTTTTTTTCTCTTAAATTTTCCCACTGGTACTATTTTTATTTCCAACGGGGTCTTCCAATTATTGGAGAGAGAATTACAACCTTCCCATGGTTATTAACATGTGAACAGAAATCATGTCAAGTTACTGAATTTTTCACTTTAAAATGGTTAATTATATGTTATGTGAATCACTGTAATAAAAAAATCGTAAAGAAACTTCCGGCCTCTAAATCCTGTGTGTAATAAACACTATCACAATATGCCCTCTCCCCATGAGAAAATGATGATGATTTTGGCACTGAGGAGGAGGTAATATAGTCATTTTAGGTTGAAGAATAAATTTGGGATCTTAAGTATTTAAAAATCTAAGAGAAGAGGATAGAGATTTTTGGTGAAGTTTCCTAATGCCTTTTAACATGCAAACTTGTATTGTCACTATATCTAAAGAAATATGGAAAGGAAAATTCAAATTTCCATGAGAGTTAAATTAAGGCAGAAAGTGAGATTTTGAAGAGATACCATGTATTTTCATTTAGTTTTTGGCTTGATCAGTTCCTCCTGAGTCCCAAGGCTGGGAGTGAATGATTTGAAGAAATCGTAATAATCAAGAAAAATAATTCTGGATGCTAAATGTCCAGCTGTACTTAAAGCAGACAAGCTAGGCAATAATAACCTGTGATTTAAAGATCAAAGTGTCAATGTGACAAAATTATGGTATAAAGTAAGATTGCTCTAGGTTTCCCAAAGCATACTATACCTGACTCGTTAACATATGGTTATACCAGAGTTTACAAGGACACGGACATGGGAAGGAACAGAAAACATCCACTTTTGCAAGAGACAGAAAAGGAAGAATAGCTGCTAACGGAACTTAGTTCTAAAGGGTAAAATTCAAGGTGAATAAAGATCATACTAGAGGAAACTCTTATCTGTTCAAAGACCACCATCTTCTCTGGCCTGAGCCATTGTGGTAATTTTCAAAGTCATCTCCTAGTGTCCTCTCTTGTTCTTCTAAGGTTTTTTTTCAGACATAGCACAGTGATTCTTTTAAATTTAAAACAAATCATGTCAGGCGTCTACTAAAATTTGCCTCACTTCCCATGTATCTCAGAGTAAAAATAAATACCGGTAAATCAAAACAAAACAGAAAAGACCTTTTCAATGGTCTGTAAGACAATTACTGTGGGCCACTTTACTCCTTTGACCTAATCTACTTTTCTCCTCTTCACTTATTCCCTTAGGTAGGACACTGGTTCTTTCTTGCTTCATAGTAACTGGGATGCTTCCACCTCGGGGCCTTTGAGCTTTCTGTTTCCTTTTGCTGAATGACTCTTACCCTAGATATCTGCAGGATCTGCCCTTCACTTCTTTCAAGGCTCTGCACAAATATCATTTTCTTAATGAAGCTGATTCCAACTACCTTATTTGAAATTACCACCCCTCCGGGAGCCTAGGTGACTCCATTGGTTAAGCATCTGACTCTTGATCTTAGCTCAGGGTTTGATCTCATGGTTTGTAGGATCAAGCCCCCACATTGGGGTGGGGATGGGGGGCTTGGGATTCTCTCTCTCCCTCTCTCTCTCTCTTAAAATAAATAAATAAGTATATAAATAAATAAATACCCAACCCTCCTTTTTGTATATTCTTAATCTCCCTTACGTTCCAACATATTTTCATAAGTCGTGTCATAGTCGAATATCCTCTATTGTCTACTTACTATTTTCTTGTATATCACCTGCCTTCTTTCTAGAACATAGACTCCAAAGGGCAGAGAGTTTTGTTTTACACTGATGCATCCTAGTATCTGAGAATAGCACCTGAAATAAAGTAGGTGTTAAAAAAATATTTTTGTCATTGTTAGAAAAAATAAATATTTAAGGACACGTAGGAAAAATATTAATGTGGGTTGTTTGGCAAAATATATCCAGGATCTACTTGCATCACTGACGGTTGGAGAAGTTTTAATTTTTAATTCATGAAAATTGTAATTATTAACACCTTCCAAATGTATTTTTTTCAGGCCCCAGCTGTGGCAGTTTCTCACATTTGATCTTCCTGCTTCTTTCTCATATGTGTTTCACTTACCTCTCCTTTGAATTTTTTAAAAATTAAATTATTAAATTAATTATTGTTTTAAAAGCTTATTATTTATTTATTTATTTAAACAAGAGTATTCATTTATTATTTAAAAAGTGTATGTATGTATGTATGTCTGTATTTATTTATTTATTTGAAGAAAGAGAGAGAGAGAGAATGAACAAGGAAGGAACAGAGAGAGGGAGGGGGGAGGGGCAAGATGGAGAAGTAGGGAGCACCTGCACTCACGCCCAGGCATCACACGGAAAAGATCTGAAGCCATAGGAAACCGTACCAAGCCCAAGAGATTGGGAGAGAAAGGACGCAGATTCTACTGAGAAAGCCTTCTAATGTGAGTGCGAACTGGGAAAGTAAAAATCGGGCCTGAATTGGAGACTGGAGAAACAGGCCACCCCCCTCTGTGGGGAGTGAGAGGGGAAAAAGAGAGTCCGAAACAGAAAAACCTCCGCTCGGGGGAAAAACCTCCGCTCGGGGTGTAGAAAATCTTTGCGCACAAAATACCTGCGCGTCAGGCCCCTCCACACTCCAAGTCGCCCAGGAGGGGCTGCGCTCACGATCTGCTTCTTTGTGCGGGCTCCTGGCTGGCTGGGAGAGGCTGCGCGCCTGTAGCCATTACCTTCGAGGCGGGCTTGGACCCGCAATTTTAGCGGGCTACTTGGCCTAGGATTTGGAGGCTGGGACTGGCCTGTGTTGAAAAGCTCAACAAACTTTGGCTGAGCCCCTGGCCCATGAAGTTTACACTCCTATAAAAGTGAGGTGGAGCACCGCCACTCTCCTCCCTACAACCTCCAGGCAGAACTCCCGCCTGACTCATTGGATCACACCACGCCCATCCCTGCTTCAGAGCTGCCCTCCTCCCTTTTCGCCTATTTTTTGGCTTTGGTTTTGGTTTGGGTTTTTTTTTTTTCTTTTTTTCCGCAGAACACTGACCTGATTTCCTCTGGGCATCGGCGTGCTTAAACATTCAAATTTAGTCCATTCTGTAGATGTAAATTCTACACCTCCCGACCTTTTCATCTCTTTCTCTCAGGAGTAATTGGACTATATAGTTTCTCTGGATAATTCCAGCACCTTTCTCTCACCTATCCAACCATATTCTACCCTTTACCTCTTTGAAAAAAGCATCGTATCCCTTTGCCTGTTCATACTATTTCCAATTTTGCCGCATCCCGCCCTGTCTTCTCTCTTTCTCTATGCTCTTTAACCAGCACTGCATTCACACGGCTATTTAACTGTAGCTGGGAAATCCGGTTATATGCTTTAAACCGTTCTTTGTCCATCGGTTTTCTTCTTTTTTCCTTTTCTTTTCTCCTTTTTGACCCTTTTATATATTTTATACTCCCTATTATTTGCCCTCCCTCCTCCGTCTTTTCTCTTAACTTTTTCATTTTCCCTCTCGCTTTGCATGTTAGTTGAATTAACCTGTACGTTTGTGTGCTCCTGCTCCCTGTGTGTTTGTCTGTCTGTTTTCCTTTCCAGGGCTACCTCAAGAAACAGGCCAGAGTACACAAGGTGGAGAGTCCCAAATATCACTACGAATAGGAAAATAAAATAACCAAGGTCCCAACAAGAGAGACCAAGAGATGCCATTCAAAAAACACTCTCTGAAAGGATAGGCCCTGGACAGTCAAAGAGTCTTCTTGGATACAGCAGCGCTCATAGGTACAGAGAGCATAACAGGTCTTTAAAACCAACAAGAGCCGGAAAGCTAACTAAAATGACGAAACGAAAGACCTCTCCTCCAAAGAAACTCCAAGAAGAAATGACAGCTAATGAACTGCTCAAAACAGATATCAGCAGCATAACTGAACAAGATTTTAGAATAATAATGGTAAAATTAATAGCTGGGCTTGAAAAAAAACATAGGGGACATCAAAGAAACTATGGCTACAGACAGAATGGAAAATAAAAATAGGCATGAAGAATTAAAAAATGCAATAAATGAGATACATAATAAATTAGAGGCCTCCAGTGCACGGGTTGAAGAGGCAGAAAGGAGAATAAGTGATTTAGAAGACACCATTATAGAAAAACAAGAAGCTGACAAAAAAAGAGACAAACTGATCCAGGAACAGGAAAGAAGAGT